TCAACAAATCTGGGGCCTGGAGACTGCACTAACTGTGAACAGGCAAATCGCACTTCGGTCTTCGCCTCTTGTGATCACAGAGCCGCCTACAAATAGTGTGGAGAAGCGCTAGCAGTTTAGGACCAGAACGTCAAATTCTATCCGCCCGAAAGTGACCTTTGATCAGTCTTTAAATGCGGCTTGACCTTCGGTGGATCCTTCCACTGCGCCGGAGCCAGCGTGGGGGCTTGCCGCTTCCCTGATAAACCTTCCTGACTTTCCGGGTAGTCCGTTTCCATTGGGTCTAGTACCGGTGGTTACACTCTTTCAATTTGTTTGAGCTTGGCTTTCCGGATTGTATAACTCAATTCCTTAAAATAGAGCTAGGTACTTTGTTGGAGGCTGTCAGGAGGTGCATTGGAGCGTGGGTTTCCTGTAGTCCCGTTTTCTGGTCAGTCGTAAAACTGTAGGCTAAGTCCAGCTTACGAAGCCCCTTTATTCTTAGCTAGTAAAAACTAATTTAGCCCTTCCTGATCAGCTGCAGAAACAACGATCGTGCTTAATTCCTCATGAAACCTTCAGGGGTGCACCGTTTCTGCAAGCCTCACCTGTTGTCGCTCAATTTCTGAGAAGCTGCGCAGCCTGCTACGACCTGAGGTGACAAGCCGAATAAACCCTAAATAGGCTACTGATCATTCAACTGTTTGTGTACGCTGGGGTTTGCACAAGCCAAAATTTCGTATCTCTTCATATTGGTGTATCCCTAGATTCGTTTGCATGAGCTCTTTCAATTCTTCTGAAGCTTGCAAGTGAGCTAATTTCAGCATCAACCAACGAAACCTGGGATTGAATAAAGGCTTGAACTGTAGCAAGCCATTCTCGCAGACAGGTTCGATTGCATAAATGGAGCCACCATAAGAGTGCTCCTTCCTTCAACGAAGCCGTAAGGATTACTTGTTTCTTCTCCATTCACGGGGTACACAGCGAGGTACATCTTTAACGGGCCGACAGCCTTTTTAAGTACCTGCCCATTCTGACGGCCGTCATGTTTTGCTGGTCTGTATAACCTCATCTATCCATCCGTAATCATGCTATTGGCTGACATGCCATGCAATTTTGCCAGCTGTGGAGCTACTTTGCTCACGTGAGCTTGCACGTCGATCTCTGCCACCACCTCAATAGGCTCTGTGCCACCGGCTATTCCCAGCGTCGAAAGGCCGTTTTTTCTATGCTGTTGGCAGGAAATCACTGACTACCAAGTTAACAATCACCTTCATTTGAGTCAGACAGAATTTGTGCGGAAACCTGGCACTACTGCATCCACAGCCAGCAGATGAACGGGTACTAGCTGCATCGAACCGAGTGGTGCTACCAACGGTAGTGCTCCATCTAACTTTTCCGTAGAGAGCCGCTTAACTCCACACTTGATGCAGGCTCATAGAAACCCATCGAGTGTCTCTCAATAGGGCCTACTGCTTTCCCCCGCAAGATTCCGACTTGAGGGAAGAGGGAGAGCTAGGCTGCGCGTAGCTGCGCCCTCTGAGCACTCCATTTACAGGTAACTGCACGCAGCCTCTAGTGGACGCGCACACAAAACTGTGCCTTGGGGTGCTGAGCTGAAATCAGTCTACAAAACTATGACACTTGCTACTATACTAAGTGGCTAGTCAATGTTTTTCCAGTTCTTAGTCAAATTTTACCTATGCAGTGAAAAATGCCGATGTATAACTTACCCTTCCATGACCACTCTGCTCAATTTCTTCAGAAACTCTCGCAAACTTCGTTTGAAAGCTAAGTTCGTCATTGTACATCCAATGGAAATCAATGCAGAACTCCACTCGCGTCGTCGGGAACAATCTAGTCTTACGCCTACGCACTAAATGGACCGACTGCTGCAGGGTTGCAAGTTCGATCCCACCACCAAGAGTGCGCTACTTTGGTACTTGACACGAGTTGTTGCCTACAGGGAACAGGCAGCTTCACGCCAGCACTTGAAGTACTCTTTTGCCAGCTATGACGATATCTGTGCACACTGTTTTGTACATGTCACGTTTGGCATTTCTGCAGAATAGCGTATTAATTTACCTAGTGGACCTTTTTTACCCACAAGCAGCTAGCCCCAAATTCAGCTTTGCCATTTGGTCAGTCTTCAGCCACGTCCACAGTTAAGCTCGATATCCTTGTCAAGCATAATTTTTAGAATTGGGAATAGTGCGTAAACAAAGCGAAGTCTGGAATTGCATTCTTCCCCACAATCGCTCTAGTTACACGTAATTTTAATCATTCTCTAATTTAGACGATCTAAGTGTGTTCTCGCTAGCCTGCTTCAGGGGCAGAGGGTCCTAATAGACTGTGAGCTTACAGGGCCCCTAGCTGGTTGCTGTACCTGCTCGGACCGCGGATTCAACTGCCAGAAACGCAGGTGAACGCGCGATTTCAATTATGGTCCACTATGTATACCTGCCATCTAAGCGCATTTTTCTATTTGCTGCAAACGAGCTGTATTTTCAACCTGTTCAGGAGTGGGTACCACCAGATCAGGCTGGTGTAAAGCCGGCATGAGTGTGCGTCGTTTGGTTCGAACAAGATTCAGAAACAGCGAAGGGGGCATCGGAATGCAACAGTTTACTAAAGCTTGCCGGAGATTCACTTTGATCAAACAACACAATTTCTTCTAGAGGGGGAGGATTGTCTTCCAGTAACTCCTCAGCAGGAGTGTGAAATTCTAGATACTCCTTTGGTGGCTTATTCGTTACACCTGAGCCATTTCCAGAGCACAAGCATAGGTGATTCCAAGTTGAATAAATGCAAAGAGAATCCAGAAAACTTTGTCATACTGAGTAACGCTCCCTCACGACTTTTCGTGAGGATGACAAAGTTGTGGTATCCACAATTCTTGCAGAAAGATTATATACCGCTTTTCCCTTCCTTCTGGGCAGCAGGCCTTTTCTGTGACACTGGTGTACGCTGCATGTTACAAGAGATTTTTGAGAGGGGCATGCATATTTGTAGGTCGCCAGTGGTTTGAGATCGCAGAACCTAGGTGCACAAATCAAACATTTGCGATTGCACACGGGTCTGCACCTACACTTGACAGCAACGCAAGGCTGTAACTTGAGAATAGTTGTGAATTACCTGCATTTGACTCCCGTACGCAATTGTACTGACTACTTAGCCTCTCCGCTACGCTATGTATGCCTCCATGCTTCGCGATGAAGCTAGGTTCCCAAAAAACTAAATGCCTCCACATTAATTGAACAGTACACTGGAATGTCATACTAGCATGCTCGCTTATCTTCATCACGTGCATGACCTCATTATTTAACAATTAGCCAGCCTACGCATGGTATTTAGAGACGACGCTGTTTAGGAGGTATGCAGAAAGAAAGAAGTAGTGCACATTAACTCGACGTGGCTGGCGTCTTAAAGTGATTCAGCCCGGTGAATGGAATCACATTGGGCCTTGAACAGTGCAGTGGACACAGTGCATATAAGAAAAGTACTGCTGCTGAAGCAAGTGAACGTTTTACTATCACATGTTGCAGTAGACCGCCTACCTAGTTCGGGTTTCCAGCGGGTTGAAAAAAGGTTCCAAGCATCAAAAGGTGATTATGGAAAGGCGGATATTGGACTGGACTGCAGTAGATCTAATGACTTCGCTTACCGTAGATGCGTCTGGAGATACGATGTCAGGTAGCCTCAACTGCGTGATTTTGCCTATAAGATCACCACAGCACTCCATGAGAGTACTCAGATTTGAGCAGTGTACCATGTTTTAAGTGATGCTTCGGTTGTCACGCCTGTGTGGCGAGGGTGGGTTAGGTATCCGCTGGTTATTGCAATACGTAAACACTGCCAATGAACGCAATAGAGATTCAAAATACGCAAGTCCCATATGTATCCTTGAGACGCATGGTACCCATCAGTTTAGAGTGTACAGAGGCATGAGCGAGCATGCAATTTTTTCCTACCCTTAACTGCCACCCGAAGATACTCGGGGTGTACATCGACGTCAATTAATGTTGTTGACAAGTGCCTGCGAAATCGGTGATGAACTCCCTTGACTGTGCGGTTCTCAGGTCACAGTGGCCCTAAGAAGTGCGGTATGAAGACATATTCTACAGCAATATCAGGAACAGCGCATCGCTGCTTTGCACACCTCGGTAAGTGAAATGTCGCTACTATCTGTCCTGGCTTGCAGCAATGGTCTATTGTAAACTTGAGCCGCCCTGTGGACAAAAGAAAATAAGTCTCTTGTAGGCCACACACGCTGCGATAAGCGCCAACAAAAACTTTCAGTTCTACCTTTGACTGAATAATTTTAGGTAATTACTCTTTTCCGCTTCTCATCAGCTATAACTCACACACCTTCATTGCACTGACGAATTTCTCCCTTACTGTTGTAAGGCTCAAAAGACTTGACCTGCAGCGAAGATGAGAGTAGTATCTAAGGCTTGTTATACCGTATGGTCGGAAACCATGGGCAGAACTGCGGCGTTCCATGCCTACCTTTTTTTCCGTTGCGTTGGTTTTTGAACACTCTGTCTTGCTCTGCGGCACAACATAGCACATGATACAGGCTATCTAAAGACACTTGCTCGGGGGGGATAACCTTCGGCATGATGCATTTGCTTGGGATTAAGGATAAGGAAAGTATAGAGTCCTTGAAACCCTGGTTCAGTTTAAACTCCCCATAAACTAAAGGCTAGCTCTCTAGTATTGTGCTTTGAAGTCCACTTCCCTTACACTCGTCATTTCAAGATACATTCTTCTGCGATTTTCCCGAGTATACGCATCCGGTGAATCGTTTGCTGCGGGTCCACACACACTCTGGCGTTGTCTTGTCTTACGAAGATACCAGTTCGAAGTAGTAATTACACTTGTATAATGTGCTCAAGATTGCAAAGTAACCCTTAAAGCTGGCAGAGTAGCTTGATTCCCTTCAATCACACTTGCAATTCCTGCGCAGCGCCGTATTTCGTCACGAAGATCTTCACGCAAGGCAGCTAACGATCGCAATGCTTCTATGCGCTCAACGGGTGTCACGGCCTTCCCATCGAGCTGTTTTAATTGAGGTAGCATAGCTATGGTAAGATGCCTATATCCTTTCCACCTGCACTTAAATTTGACATATCTTCAAGGCCTTTCAATGAAGGTTTGCGACTATCTAAGGGGACAAGAATAATGTGTCAATTCAATCCAGTAAATAGAGAATTCCTATAGGCCCAATAAGCTGCACTACAATGGAGTGGGTGCACCCACTCTGCGCACGGGTTTCCCATGAGATACAGGTCTTCCAGACAATCATTTCTTCGAAGATTTTCAAGTGATATCTCCAGGCATTCCAGTCCAATGAAATTGACCGTAAGGTCCAGCTGTAGACCCCCAAAACCGAGGACAAAACAATGCGAAAACTGGATATCCTGTTACAGTTTCTATAGCTCCTATAGAGCAGGTCGACTATCGGTCATATTCTGCCCAATCGCTTGGTTCTACAAGAGAAATCGAATTGAAGTTGGCATGGAAGTACCAGCTATAGCTTGCCTTTTTGAGACTTTCGCACCGTTCAAGGTTCTCAGCGACCACAATGTTATTGAGCGCAACATTTAGATACTCTAATTGTTTTAGCCTCCCGAGATTTTCTAGCCGCTCTGTATGGCAACGCAGTCGGGCGCTGGTTATATTTTGAAGCAGACACACCCTGGCGGTACAGTTCTCCAGAAGTGGAAAAGTTTTCGCTTGACAGAGTTTTCGTCGAAGTATCAAGAATTATAATCAATAAGACTAGTTGCAGCTACAAGATATCAAGATGCCATATACAGGCTACTGTGCATTAAAAATAATTAACAGACGTGCGGTGATGTCCCCTTATCTTGCCAATTCATGCGCACTGTTCGTAGGCATAGCTTACCTACCAATCAGATTGTTTTGTAGAAGGAGGATTTTCAAGTCTTTGCATAAACGATCAATGAGTTCGATTTTTTCAATTTCGAGTTGATGCAAAGCAATTTCTTCCAGCTTTTCCAAGAGGTCTTCATTGTGCTCCGATTTACGACGAATTAGCTCCTCTGTTATTCTCATCTCCAATGCTGGGTTCCCTGAGCGTGAGCGGAGAGGAGCAACACAAAAGGTATAGAACATTAGGCTCAGCAAATTGCCAAGCTTAAAGGACAGAAAAAGTGCCCGGCCAGCGCGCAAATAATGTGAATCAAGTTATGGTAGACGAATTTGGGGCTGCGCGATGCTCGGTATCATCCAAACACTCGACCAATTTTCATAGTTCATTTATGTAACGTAGCCTGAACCAGTAGGATTTGCACACTCCAAGCAGTTTGTTGCTTTGGGTGTGCATAGAACTAGCTTGGAACGACAAAAAAGAAATGGTTCACTTTCATTTAGAGAAACGTTGGTCTGGCCCCGAGCCTCTGTGTTACGGATAGCAGTGCCTGTGCTGCTCATGCTTTGGACACGATTTCGCCATTGCTTACGGTTGCAAGACAGCAGTCGTGTTTTGGCTTTTCTCAATGCCGTGAAGGCAGGAACACTTTTACTATTTGTTTGCATCAGGTGTTTTAGGCTTTCCTTCCTTCTTATTTAATAATGGAGCACCCAATCGTGGACAAAAAAAGTGACTACCTGGTGAGCAATGGAGCACCAATAATGCTGCACCGCCGCCTAGTAATTGCTGGAGAAAACTTTTTATCGCTGCGTTTAACTGGATTACTTTCACCGTCAGAAATTTCTCGCAAATACCTTAAGAGGCTTCTCCTGAAAGCTCCTTGTTTCCTTTCGAGGTCTATGTCATTCTTAGTGCATGCACCTGCCAACCAGCCCCATCGGCGTACCGGTATGTGCACTCACCTGGCAGGAAGTTTGGACAGGTTTGCTGGCAAGTAGTTTTGACCAATATTGCTCTATATAAGCCTGTACGTGTCAGCCCATGCTGTTCTTTAATAGCACGTTAGGTCAAACAAGCAGTAGGTAACATGTGCACGGACCCGCCGAGAAGCTGCTTCCTCACCACAGTGAGTTTGCAATTAACGTGTCCCTTTGTAGTTTACACGGAATCCGTGTAGACATCACCCTGAAGGCTTTTGGTTAGAAAGAATACTAGTGCGCTCTTACACGATACCTGTTGGGTTTGGCATTTTCACCATATCCTTGCTATTGCATGCGCACGCCAACCTGCCGTCAGTGCAATCCTAATATCACTTGCAAGTCTGTTTGGTATGTCTAATGTTTCCTCTTTACGCACATGACTGGAGCATCTGGCGTGTGAGGTCCTGCTTTGGATGAGTCGTTGGGTACTCACTCTCTTTTGGGTACAAAGTCTGTGCTCAATGGGCTCCTTCTCCAAGGAAGCATCTTAAGGCAGGAAGCATTCACTCATGAAGCATTCCTAGCCCATGCAATGCACGATGGAGAACTCAAAAAAAGATTGTATGGAGCTTGCTGCCCTTATTGGCGTCAATGGTACATCCAAGCAATGCATGGCTTTGCATCCTGACAACAAACGGCTAATCTTCGCTCTCGGTTATTCAATAGCTGTCCGTGACCTTACAACAAGCTCTGAAACTTTCTTGTGTGGCCATGACAACTACGTGACGTGCATTTCCATCAGCAAGGATGGAAAGCTTCTCGCTAGTGGGCAACGGACACACAATAGCTTTTTGGCAGACATTGTCATTTGGGACCTCGAAAATGCGCTGGAGCTTGGAAGACTCAGGTGGGCACGCTTGTGTGACACTTTTTCAAAAGCCTTTCTTAGCTTATAGTTATCGATAAATCCGATTCTACAGACAGAGCACAGTGACTGGAGAGCATGCTCTCAGCTTCCATAAGGGCTCGGTGGAATGCCTTGACTTCTCTTGTGACAACGAGTTCCTGGTCAGCCTTGGGGGTGACAGCTGCAACACGTTGGTGTTATGGAGCATCAAGGAGAGGAAGCTCCTATGCGGAACAACGGCTGCGTTGGAGACGGCGAAATGTTTAGCCTTTTATAATAATTCATCATATATGTTCTTATCCGGTATGTGCTTTTTTCGTTACCTTAAGAATAGCAAGTGGTGACTTTTTGCAGCTCGAGAAATACGCGTAGGGAGTAAACCTTTATGTATGCTAACCGTTATGCTCAGCTGGCATATCGCACATTCGAATTTGGGAGATAAATGCCACTACGAAGAAGATGACCCCGAGAGGCTGCAACCTGGGTAAACTTCGCAGAACTTGCAACTCCGTAGTTATCCACCCAGCGGATACAGTGGCATACTGTGGAACGCAGTCTGGTAAGCTTTCCCTAAAGGAACCATCCAAGAGGATGCAAGCGCCCTTATCTATACTGGTTGCTTACTAGAAAACATGTGCACGCTTCGTCATCAACTACTCGAATCTTACGGTGGTGGGGATGCGACGAGGTGGTACGAGGATAATATGTGGACACCTCCTGAGGGATATTGAATGCCGCAGGAGACATTCTCGAGATATCACTTCAGACTGGGTTAATGAAACGGCATGGACCTCCTAAACAACGACTCGAGGGAGGCGTCACTTCAATGGCATTGCTTAACAACCACCTTTTTGTCGGCACAGGAGATGGCCAATTGCACCGTTTGGGACTGGAAACATTAGCCCCTATCGCTTCCTGCCAGGTCCCTGGTGCCTTTACCTCCATCATCTCAACTCCTAAGAGTTCTTCCATTTGGGGGGTGACGGCAGAAAACAGTCTATACAGGATCGATGCCCAGACAATCACTCCACGTCTCGAGCACTGTGCCCAAACTGGCAATATAAATCAGGTGGTATTTCCAGAAGGTTGCTCTCATATCTTAGCCACTTGTTCAGCATCCGATATTCGAATCTGGAACGTGAAGAACTGCAAGGAGCTGCTGAGGATTCGGCTTCCTAGTGCTGAGTGCTTGTGTATCGCTTTCGCTCCTGATGGTTCTGCGGTGATATCAGGATGGAAGGATGGAAGAATTCGTGCATTTGCTCCAGAGACAGGAAAGCTGCTCTTTTGCATTGATCAAGCTCATAAAGGCGGCGTAACGGGTATTGCTGCAACAAGTGTGGGGAGGCGGTTGGCCTCCGGTGGACTATCTGGTCAGTTTCGGGTGTGGCAAATACGCAACAACTCGCAGGAGCTGCTTGCTAGTCGAAAAGAGCATCGAGGGAAGATTTGTTGTTTGCGTCTCCGTCGCAACAACATTCATGTCAGTTCCTCGCAATCATAATTACTGTGCATGGTCTTCACTGGCAGTTGTAGAGGTAAATTGTAGCGTACTAGAACTGCTGCTTCATTACTCCAGCCCGTATTGGAACACGCCTTTATTGGATCGTGGTCACACATTTGAAAGCGTGGTGCCTCAGGCCCTCACTGCTGCGGAGGACGGGACCATCATTGTGTGGGACATGACAACATACACATCTATTTTGTCAATTAACGAAAGTACATTATTTCGAGTACGTTCATGCCAATACATGCTCCAGACACGCTGCCAATATGCACATGTCCTACGTCTGGCACATCCCCGACATTGCCAGGCATATGTTGGCTCGCAATAATTGAAAGTGAGAAAGTACAACGAGGCACTGTGTGCGGCTTGTGGAGCTGATGTCAGAACGCCACTTTTTCTGCCGACGAAATCCACATTCTCGCCACAGGGAGCGATCGGAAAGTGCACTATTTTGACTCATTGGATGGCACGAAAATAAGGGACATTGACGCTGCTGAACAAGGAGACATACATTGTATAGCGTACCATCCAAGCGCTCCACTGTTTTGTACTGGTTAGCCATGTTCTGTACGAAAAAAACGCTTTGCTACACAAATAAAGTCCACATCTAAGAACAGGAATTCTCCAAGTACCTCTTCGGGAGCACAACCAAGCTTCCCATACTCTGCATACTGGGCCCTATTCGCAAACTCTTCTTGGCTACGGCTCTTCTTTTCAGGCGGCGATGATCAATCACTTCGGTTATGGAGATATGAGTCGGGTGAATGTGCAATGCTATCCCCTTGGCACGCCGACAATGTGCGATGTGCGTGTTTTAGTCCCGATGGAACAGTCCTTGTCTCCGGAGGAAATTGTGGGGTTATTCATTTTTGGCGAGTCCCTGACCACCTTATAAAAGGGGATAGTGCAGTGCCATCCTAATGCTCTGCACGAAGAGCCTACATTTGAGGGGATGCCGGTTGTCGATGCCTAGCCACTATGCACACAATTTGTAAGTGATAGACTAGCGAATCGCCTCATAAGACGGTGTCGAATCACACTTGACACATTGGACAGACCCTTCTTTCACTTTATTAGCTAGCATCCGTTTGTCCAGAGAGCCAATACGTTACCTGCGATAGCCCTAGACAGCAGGAGACTTTCGTTACATTCTGGCACCCCGTGGCTGGAGGAGACTGGTTTGACGCACGCCGGCGTAGGGCAAGCAAATAACTGTTCATTGGGATCTAGATCTCTTTACACCTTTTACCACATTTTCGACAACCGCTAATCTTCGCTTGTTCAGATTTATGATACCTGCATCCCTCAAAATATTCAGCTTACTGTAAAGTGGTAAAGCGATTCCTATGTACGCTCTACTACGCTAGTTATATCAATTATTTTAGAAAAACTGATTAATTGTTATCTCTGTATTTTTGTTGGCGAGTGTTGTTAGGTCGATATAAAAGACACAGTGATGTGCGTGCGTGCGCTAGACGCTCTGTGCAACTAACTGTTAACGCTCAGAGTGCTCAGACAATGCAGCTCCATATACCCATGTCAGGACTTTGAGGGGCGTAGGCAGGAGCGCGAGTGGTTTTTTGAGAAGCGCTTAATAATTCTCCGCTCGCTTTGTATTGTTCGGGTAATTAAGTGCCTCCCCACGGACACCAGCGCTAGCTACATCAGTTGGTTGCACCACATGGTTCGATGTAGCTGTTTCCTGCTTATTCACTGGCGGGGGATGCACGGGAATGTCAGGCTCCCTAACGTCACTTGAATGGCTTTGATCAATGTATTTGACCCCTCGGCAAGCCAAACGCCTGCAACAAGGGACTGGGTAGAAAATACCTCTGGTCTATGAGGCAGACGGTGGCTGAACGAGTTTTGGGGGCCACTCACATACCTATAAAGTAATTTCACTGCAGTAGCTCCACAGCTGGCAAAGCAGCAATATTTGTGGGCTAACTAAACGTTTATAGATGCATGCATGATGTTATACCCACCAGCAAAGTACGGCAGCCGGATGGCTGGGCAGCACTGGAGGTGTTCTTCAGCCAAACGGATATGTACCTCACCTAGCTATTCCTCTAAAAAGGGACAAGTGCTCCTCATAGCTTGTGTATCAAAGGAAAAGTACTTAAGTGATGGCTTTATTCATGTAAAAGAAGTCGGCTCCGTGCACGGATTGCTGCATGTCAAGCCTTTAGGCAGGCTCTGGCTCAAACGTTTATTCCGAAGTCGCACCAGCAATCTCTGGAGGAATTGAGAGAGCTCGTGTTAAAGGATTTATAATTAGATCGGTGTACGGAAAAACATAAAACCTTGGCTTGCGCAACCACAACGTAAACAAACAGTTGATTCACCAGTGGCCTAGTTTGACTCTTCTCAACATGCCGTCAAAGGAGGTGGCAGGCCGTGCAGAGACTGAGCAATTAAAAAAGACCAATGGGACCTGTACAAATCACAGGCGACTTGAAATTTGCCGAGAAAAGCCCAACCGCTCTGTCCGTAGCTGCAGAGGGAGAACTAAGCCAGCATACATAAGCTATGAATGCAGAGGCTTCAGATGGACCTAGCATGCAGATTCAGGCCGACCAAACAACACACCAAGGGCACGCTAGAGCTCCTATGGAGCCTTCAGAGAGACTCTAACTTTAGCTTCGAAACTAGTTTTAAACCAAAATTATGACTTCCAGAAAGCCAACCAAATGGCTAGCCGCTAAGAGCTAAAAAACGGGAACCCAGTGAAAAGAGACTACTTGAAAGGCAAAGAGGGCTCCCAAGAAAAAAGGCGAACCCCTGCGCTGGCTCCGGCGCAGTGGAGGGAGCCACCGAAGGTCACGTCGCATTTGAAGACTGATCAAAGGTCACTTTTGCGCTGATAAAATTTAACGCTCTGGTCCTAAACTGTCAGCGCTTCTCCACGCTATTTGTAGGCGGCTCCGTGATCACAAGAGGCGGAGCAGAAGTGCGATTTGCCTGTTCATAGTTAGTGCAGTCTCCAGGCCCCAGATCTGCTGATGGATGGCAGAATGCAAGAATTGGCAAGGCCACGACAGCTGAATGCCCAGTTAAATGAGTGCTATCAGAATGGTCCGTGACTTTTACGGTGTTCCTGTGAAGCATGACGTAATCCTAGGTGTGCCAGGGGTAACAAAATGGAAGGCGTGCATGGGGAGCACAGCTGCGGGCTATGGAGGTCACTGTGCCAGGAAACACTAGAAATGAGCACTTTCTAATCGCTGCAACGGTGCTTATTTCATAAAGGAAGAACAGGATAGAGTCAGTACCTCAACAAGGTGAGGAAGATTCGTCAAGCAGGTGGCTGAGCAGCACAGTAAGTAAGGAGGGTTCTGAGCATGCAGCCCATCTTTTTGGCTCTGCAACTGGTGTATAAATCAAGGAATACAATCGAGCACATAGCCGATGCACGTTAGGATTGGGCAAACGTCAAGGAGGAGCTTGCTGGTGTCTTAGCTACTGATGAGCCGCCGGCAGGCTGGCCAGGTGCTGTTCGTCCAGCGCACAGTATTGAGCCAATCCCTGAGTCGGCTTTACACTGCTCCCGCGACATCAGAAACTGTCGCAGCAAGAAGAGGTGGTTGAGGGGCAGGTGGATGTATGGTGAAGATGGTCAAAGTGCAGGTATTCACCAGCGCTGTTGGGCGTAAAGCAATGTTAGTGTCGAGAAAGAACAGAAAGTGTGCATGTGTTGAGCCCCTGAGTCAAATTGCTGTGGAGCAGAAGTCCATGATGCGTCTTAGTAGAGACTTCTTGGCAGGCCGCACGTATCAGTACTCAGCATTTGACTCCACAGACGCCTTACATATCGCTGCTCGGCTTGGCGACAGGCACGGAGCGATGTTCCACACTCGCACTCGCAAACTCGAGTATACGCGTATGCCGTTTGGGCTTGCGCTTCAGCTTAATATCAACGTCAAGCTGATCAGGTTTTGTGTGGGCCTATCAAGGAGAGGTAGTTAGCTGCCTACCTGGATGACGTCCTAATTGTCATGCGAAGCATGCACGATCACGTACAGCAGGTACGGCCTGCGCCTCAATCGCTGCAGGGCAAGCAGCGGCATGCAGAGGCCCGCATGTGCTCGTCAAGAGAACAATTGTTCGAGATTCCTTGTTTCGGCCGTACAAACTGACCCTGATCCAGCAAATATTCAAACCAAACCACACATGGCTTTCACGCAGCCGCAAGGACGCTGATTTCTGTGCGCTTGCATCTTTGTAGCAAAATTTTGTTCGTGAGTTTGCTTAGATCGTTGCTGTCTCGAGCGTTTTCGTTAAGAAAACGAAGTCTAGGGTTTGAATGGAGGAAGCGAATATTGCGTCAAGGACGCAAATAGGCCTCTTAGCAGCTCCGCAGGCAATCGTGCTGCCGGTTATGAAGATTATTTTCTCCTTGCAACCGATGCCAATGACGTAGCGGTCCATGCTAGGCTCTCCAAACAGGCCATCACTCTTCGAAGAACCCAGGTTGTTGCCTAATTTATCCATCGCTTCACTGAAAGCTAGTGTCAGTATCCAGTAAAGCAGAGAAAATCTGCAGCCTGGTGATACATTCAAGAATGCCGACACTATCAATATGAACGTCTTCTATTGTATTGGCCGGTCATCACTCGTTAATGCACCTCACGTATACTTGTCAAGATTTTGATTACCCTTGAGTTGTTGGCCGGCTTTTATGCCTGTTGAAGTACGCCGTAACAGTGGATTGTGTTCAAGACATCACCAAAGTGCGTACCAATGCGCTATCACAACCACCCAGCGATTCAATATTCTGCATGCGCAGCAGATCACCGATGATTTACGATTCCTTACACGATTGCCTGCGTCGTATGCCTTGTACACACAATACATTCGCTACTGTGCCCAAAGTCTAGAAGCTCAAGGGGCGGAATCACCATCACGTTGAGGATGACCTGCTGTGATTCGATGAAAAGTGGAGCTCCGTGATTAATACATACTCACTTCGCTTCCTTATGTCTTGATACGCAGAGCGCTTGTTCGTGCATCCTTTTATGTCTTTTTGGGCCTTGGTGGGATTCACATTAAGGTGGAGATTTTCTGATGATCACTCTGGTGGCCTGGGGTGCTCCTCGTAACAGAGGAGTATGCACTGCCATGCAGCGGTTGTCAGCAGCTGATGTCGCAAAGTGCTCCTATTTTTTTTCAAAGCGTGTCGGCTTGTGCGCGGACTTGGAACTATGTAACTATAGGCCCTATCGGTGAATTACCAGAAAGCAAGGGTCCGCGTAGCATCTACGGCATTGTATAGCAAAACCCCATTTTTATGCTTGCTTCAGTTACACTATAAGAAGCTGTTTAATGATTCCCAACGCACGTCCGGAGGCTTTACGGATTCTCCACGATTAGCACCATGATAGGAAACAAAATATATCTAGTGCGTTCTGGCATGCCCTTATCGCCACCCCACAGGTCATGATATGACCGCAGCAAGCCACCCTGAGGCAAATGACCCAGCAGAGCGCCCTAACAGTCTTCTTCTGCAGCATATGCACCTCTGTGCTTACACACATCCAACAGCGCGGCTGTAATTTCTTCTTCGTTGTGCTAAGTGAATCTATAATACAGCAGTCAAGTGGTTCATTCTCTCTGCTTTTGCATTACCGATCCACACTGAGGTAGCGTTCTCCCATCCAAGCCTTGACTTGGTGGCTTACGACCAGCAGTCACCCTGAGCGGCGCAGAGCTTGAGAGAGAAGTTGGATGGTGCATGTGAATGTACGCGCAAGGGTCAACAGAGACAAGCCTGTAGCTATAAAAATTGAGGGTTGACCGTATTTCGAACCTGAATACTCAAATATTGTGGATCCCCAGGCTTCACGAGGTGCCCCCTGAAAATCAGCCAAATAAGATGTTCTGGGCCAGAGGGCAACAACCATTCATTATCCCCTTACAAAAAA